ATATATATATATATATATATATGCTTGTTAAAATGACTGCTAAGTGATGAGAACCAATCAAAAAGCAATCTTCTTTTATCCAGCGGCTATATGAAGGAATTGAATCAAGTCGCTTTTTGATGGAAATATAAATTATTAATATATCAATTCAAAAAAGGAGCATTTGATACGCTGTGTTCTCATTTGTGCACAGGCGCAGCCATTGTGCGTTTTCTTTGAGTTTCGTTTCTACGTTCCAGCTTCGTGTCCACTCCAACAATGGCTGCATTGTTTTGGTGCCACAAGCATCATGCTTGGCTTCCCCACAAAACCGGACTGCCAGCTTCAGCCAACAGAAGGTTTGCAACTTTATTGCGCATAAATGTGTGTTTAAAGAAAGGACAGAGAGTGCTGGGAGGGAGTTTGCTAGTTTGTGTCTGCTCATGTCTTCTGTTGCAGGCGTCTGTGTGTTTGGATGAGAGGGGAAAAGAGACGGGGAGGGAGAAAAAGAGAGAGTTGGCGGAGGCAGTGGAAAATTTGCGAGCCAAGGACAGTGACGTTGCCGAGCAGAGAACAAACTACTTCCTGAAAACCTATTCGAGAATGAGTTCAGCACACTGTCTCTGTGGCCTTCACCAACTCTCTGCCTTTAATCCTGTTTTAGCTCTCTAAAATTTCTAAAAGCAAATGGTGTTAAATTATTAAAATCTCCACATTCCTTTAATGTAAACTAACTGCCGTGCAGTGGTTTTAAACTGTCAATACACCAATACAAATGTAACACTTTTAAATATATTTTTAAAACCAGTATGAATAGGTTTTAAGATCTTTGCCTCCAGGAACGTACATACTCCAAACGACAAATTTGAACTTGATAGATGCCAAAAAGCTAACTAGCTAGTTAGGTAGCAAGGGTTTGTTTTCCTTGAGTTACCGGGAACCTTGAATCCCAGAATACAACGAAGATATCTGCATAAGACTCAAACAATTGTCTGACAGAAAAGTCGCGCAAGAAAAAAAGACTATAAATAATACAGGTTAAATAGTCCTGCTGAGGCAAAACTTAACATGATTTAACTTACTTTTAAATTAAGACATTTGGCACTTCACTTTGTACTAATAAGAATCTGAGATGTGGAAGCAAATATACCCATGACATATGTAATGTACCAATTTGACGCTATGAAGCTTAGTGGAAATTACCTACACTGTAAACAACCGTCTTCCATGGTGAAGAGAGAAGAGCCGAGCTGACTTAGACAGCTGTTAATGTCAATTTAATATTTAGAAGCGCCAACACGGACTGAACGGCTTCATTCACTTCCTCCGCTGTACAGAATGTTTTGTGTTAGCTTGCGTTGCTAATAGTAGCATAACTTGCAAACCCCACAGGAAGTAGAGCACTTGTGAGGTGTAGGGTTAAGGTTTTGATTTAGTTTTACTGCTGGCTGCTTCACTTCCAGTTGAGAGTCTTCTACGTTTCCACGTAGCACTTTTTTTTTTATTAGAACAGTTGAACAACTCATCCTTCACCTGTTGCTACTTATTAGTGCAAAGCCACATGGCGCCGAAAGCCCTAAAATCTGACTTGTGGCAGTTGGTATCTCATTAAATCTCAATAAAATGGCTTCATCTTTCTCTTCAATCACAACCTCATCATCATTCTATAATGATGGAGGACATGCCACAACTAATTGGTAATATATATTTTTTAATTTTCCTTGAAATAAAATTGTTTTTATAAGGGAGGCTAAGCCCGGTGATCAGGGTACCAAGGTGGTCCACCGTGTTTTTGTCTTAAAAGATGTTAAGTAGACAGGAAATTTTAAAATATTACTGGGTAATTATGTGTTATGGGAAAGCATCGCCAGTGAAAAGCTATTTAAACCGACAATTAAAACAACTAATCAAAAAATACAATTAAAATGAATATCAATTATTTGTACTTCAGTGATTCTTGAGAATAGGGACAAAACAGGTCCTATGGATAAAGCACAAAATTTGAATAAAATATACACAAAATATATATATATTTTTTTCAAATGTCTGACTAAACTAACCTGGGTCATGTGAGCACAACAATGTATATTTTCCTGGTGTTTGCTGAATATTTTTTTATTTTAAACATTGTAGTAGGTGGATGGTGTCTGTAAAAGCCCTTGTCCAGGAGCAGAACTCAACACATTATAATAGTTTAAAATAATTAAAGAAATACTAAAATTATATATTGTGACAATTAAGTATAAGTAGTTATATACATAATTATAGAGGTATCAATAAATTGAATTAAAAATCATTTTTATATATTTTCCAACTACATTGAAATTTGTCCCTAGTTTTTGTCAACACCGTCAGAAATGAAAATAATGTAACAAAATCAGGCATTATTGGGGGGCACCAGAACTTCTGAGGACCCCATGATCTCTTCCTTTCGCTTCCTTTGCTAAGAGGGCTAGTTAGCTCTGGTTAGTCCTGTGGTTCACATAGAGCTGCACAACCAGAGCTAACGTGATTCGTTTTAAGCTCTTACCTTGATATACAGAGTGCTCCAAAGAAACATAATTCCACACAAGTGGTTGATGTAAATATCATACAGGCCACCCTGTGTCCAGTTTGAGTGAAAGGAGGCGCGCGCGATCCACGCTAAGGTCACTGCGACCTCAACGGGCAGAAGCGCCAGTGTGTGATTGGTTCGCTCTCCCAGCTTTAAATTCATAAACTATAAACTTATGTTTTAGAAATAAATCTGCTCCATGAGTGAAACTCTCAGAACAAGAGAGACGCTTGGAATTTGGCTTTAAGATTAAAAACAAAAAAAAAGTAAGCATTTTTTCCCCCCCAATTATTAATTTTTCTAAAAATAAAAAAAAGCAACGCTTAGCCTGGCAGGGGGCCTAGTAAAAAAATGGCGGGCTGCCAGGCTTATAATACACTGGGGGAGACCCTGTAAGGTATTAAATCTGATCTAAAGCCCTTTTTGCACTGCAGGGTCCGGCCCGCCCCAACCCGGCTCAGTTCGACCCGGTCCTATTGGTGCTATGGCCCTGGTCATTTTGCATTGGGGAGGATACGTCACATAAAATGACTTGTCACTAAAGCTATTGAGGTGATCTCCCCACCTAGAACAGTTTTCTTCTTGGGTCTCCCGTCCCGCTTTTTCTGTATGCGCTTATGAGCGTCGAAGCTGAGGGAAACATTTACCGCAACTTTACATTTAACGAAAAAAAAAAAAAAATCTCATCTGAGCTGGCCAGCTGAACTACCGCTGCGGCTGGTGTGATTTCCCAGCTAGAGCGATGCCAGATGCAGAAATCCCCTCGTTTACAGCCTAGCCGACTTCTGATCAGTTCAATTGAAGAAATGTTATTTACATTTACCATTAGAATATGCAATATGGTAAACAGTGGCGCAGTTGGTAGAGCCTTACAGCAAGAAGGTTCTGGGTTTGATTCCCGGCCTGAGGTCTTTCTGCATGGAGTTTGCATGTTCTCCCTTTGCATGTGTGGGTTCTCTCTGGGTAATCAGGTTTCCTCCCACAGTCCAAAAACATGACTGTCAGGTTAATTGGCCTCTCCAAATTCTCTCTAGGTGTGTGCATGGTTGTTTGTCCTGACTGTCTGTCTCTGTGTGTTGCCCTGCGACAGACTGGTGACCTGTCCAGGGTGTACCCCGCCTCTCGCCCTGAACGTTAGCTGGAGATAGGCACCAGCAACCCTCCCGACCCCACTAAGGGACAAGGGTGTAAAGGAAATGGATGGATTAAAATATTTGGCTGAAAATATTTGGCCGATTCCCGGCTGAACAATCGCCGGGAATTGTCATATTCCCGGCGATTGTAATCCCTACACTGGGATTACAATCGCCGGGAATATGACGGGAATCTATTGATGCAGCATATTGAAATGACAGTCATCAAGAAAGTCTAGTGCTCCTCTGATCCATAGATCTGGTCTTTGTCCCACCCCTGCAGCCAATGAACCAATCAACAGCTAACACAAGCTGACCGGTCTGGCTGGCCCAATTGGAACCGCAGCTCTCGGGGTTCCAGGGACTCGGGTGGTACCGGGCTCGACCCGGGTCGACCCCGGTCCAGCTATGCAGTGTAAAAGGGGCCCTGTCTATCCTGTATAATTACTGGACTGTCTTAATCATTGTGGTGTTATGGTTGGAATATTGACTTCCTCGGTTTCATGACTACATTTTTACATTAAATAAAAAAGGGATAAATTATTGATAGAAAGCTTAACTGTTTTTACCTTGTGGTCCGAGACGTTTCAATGTTAAATGATTCCCATCAATAACTTGTAATTTATAATGGCTAATCTATGCAATCAAAATAATGCAATTTTTAATGCCTTTTTTGTTTAGTCTAATAAATTTGCTACTGTTAGCCACTTAGATTAGCATTCAAGCCAATATTAGCATTTTAACTATTTGCATTGCTCTGGGTCTCTTGGAGAACTGACTTTGGACCTACAGTTCCTGCATGCCTGTCTCTGATGCTGGGAACAGGGAATATTTTGACATTGATGGGATTTGTTGGAGAACTTTCTCCAAAAAGCTTTCCAAGCTCTTTGGAAATTTGACTCAAGAACTTGGACTTCTGAATGTTCAAGGTCAGTTTTTGTATATTTCTTAACATAACATTTGTTTTTGATGTGGCTCTCCATTCAGAGCTGCAAAGTCTGAGGGGCAACAAAAAATAAAAAATGCTGTCAGTTGCACCCAGAGCAGATTTGTGTTTGTGTGCTCCACATCAATTAAGAACTGTAAGAAAATGACTGCACACTTTTGCCGTGTTATGCTGTGTTGTTATTAGCAATTAGTTCTTAGCATCTGTCTGAACAGCTCTGATTATCAGCTATTCAGCTGATAATCAGAGCTGATGACTGAAACAGACACTGACTGGAAAACTACTGGCTTTAGCTCTCATTCTGGCTTTCTCCAGCATGACAAACAGAGTGGTTATGCAAATTATCTACATCATAGTAATTTTCATACCATTCCATCCATAAAAGCTTTTATATTTACCACCATACAGGGAGGTAATGGTGCAGGTTCTGTCGGCACATTTTCCAGTAAGTTACAGGAAAACAGCTTTGGAAATCTAGAAGGAAAGAAAAATCAAAAATCCATTTTCACAGGTTTAAATATATACATTTCTTTCATGCATTTCTGAAAATTTTCAGCTTTTCCAATGAGAACTCTGGGATGCAGAAGGAGGATCACACACACACGCACACATACTTTAATGTGATCCAGCTAACAGCTCTCCATTTGGTCCTATTGGGATTTCACACAGCATAACATATCTTTCATTTGCGTTCCCCTCCCCTACTGCTTTCTTACTTACTGCTTATTGCTTTCAGTCCCAGTTTTAGTCTTTAAAACATACATTTGTGAATTAAAACAAATAGTTTTGAACATTCAGAAGTCCACAAAGGCGTCACCTGGGTGACGCCTTTGTGGACTTCTGAATGTTCAAGGTCAGAGTATCCAAGTTCAAATAGACTTAATTTCACATCTTGTTTTTGAGTTGAGAGCAACCTTTCTTTTGACAGAAGCAAGAAAATCATCTTGACTCTGGTGGACTTCCAGACTAACTATGAAAAATATTTGACATTTTTTAAAGGAGCAATTGACTTGACGTTCAAAAAGCTATAATATAAGATTGTGATTTGCTACTGTGTTTTGGTTCATGGATCTGTTGATGTTTCAGATGTCAGATGTGTTCATGGTCAGCCAAAGTCACATGACAGCAAAATAAGCCCAGATCTTCACTCATCGTTAGCAGCTAGTAGAAGATGTTTATTTTGTTTGGCCAGACTTCTCTACTTGGCTCTTATCCCTCATGAATAACATTGTTCCAGAATTCTTGACTGGGACCTGTCTGATTATTTCCTTTGTTTTGCTCATGCTTTGTTGAAGATTGGTTGTTTTACTCCACATGACCTACAATAGTTTTGCTATCTGACACATTCTAATTAGCTTTAAAAAAAATCCATAACATTAGATTATAATGACACACGACTGCTAGGATGCAGCAGGAAGATGCATTTCCAGTGTAAATAATATATCTGGCCTATATTTCTTTTACATCCAACACATCTTTACTCTTTCCCTCTTCCAT